TATATATAATCTAAGGTTCTGGCCATCACTGACTGTAACAACAAATTCAAATTTTTTTGTTATTTATTTTGAGATATCATTAATGAGTTATGTGTAGAGCTTCTGAGAAATTTCAGTTATTCATATCCACCAGCTGCCCATTGGGAGAAAAATGAAGCTAGTCAGCTCCCATTAAGATTTACAGTCTCAGAAACAAGAAGGCAGCAAGTTTGGTTTGTTAACTAGGTAGAAGGTCTTGTGGCACAAACAGTTAACATATTCACCTGCTAACTGAAGGTAAGAGGTTTGAATCCACACAAAGGCACTTTGCATAAAATTTCTGGTGATCCATTTCTGGAAATTAAGCCACTGAAAACCATCTATAGTATAGTTCTACTCTAATGTGTGTAGCTATGCATCAGAAGGCTGGACAATGTCTAAGGATGACAGAAGAAGGACAAATGCCTTTGAGTTGTGGTGTTGGAGAGGAGTGTTGAATATTTGGACTGTAAGAGAACAAACATGTCTGTCCTGGAGGGTAAACCCGGCTGCTTCTTGAAGGCAAGAATATTGAAGTTCTGTCTCATATACTCGGACATATAACCAGAAAGGAACTAGTCCTTGGTGAAAGAAGGGTGGAGGGACAAAGCAAGAGAAGAAGATGCTGAATGAAATGAATTGACTCAGTGACTAGGGTAATGGAGGTAGATGTGTAAGAGACAATTAATTGGCTCAAGAGAGAGCAGAGTTCAGAGCTGTTGTACGTAGAGTCACTATGAGTCGCAAGTGAAGGGCACATAACAACAATAACCATAACGATGTGCATGAGGACATACAATGCTGTGTGTCGTTGAGTCACAACTGACCCATAGGTGACCCTTCAATGAGTTTTAAGGGCAGTAAATCACACATGAGGAGATTGTCTATTGGATGTCAAGAGATGCTTTCAAATCAGTGGTAAAGAATTCAGATATTTATTTTGATACACCACTGGTTATCTCTCAACAGTCATCACCCAGAATCCTAACCTCCTCTTCCTAAGTGTGCCATTACCTCAGATCACTCTTGTTTCTGATAAACATGTTATTGTTGTTATAGATTATGTCGAGTCACCTGCATCTCATTGCGACCCTATGTACAATAGCTCTGAAACCTGCCCTATTCTGAGCCAGTCTCACTGATTCCAACACACCTACTCCCATGCTTCTACATGCCTGCTTTCAGATTTTCAATTGTTAAGTGTGGTGATGGTGGTGTTAGGTGTCATTGAGGCAACAACCACTCTAAGGGACCCTATGAGCCTATGATGGAAACCCTATGATGGGAACCTCTCCTATCATGCACCATCCTCATTTTCTCTGTTACGTTAGAGTCTGTTATTACTGTCTCTGTGTCAATCTATCTTGTTGCTTTCTCTCTTTCACTGATCCACTTTTGGCATATACAGAGACATATACTAGTTGTATATTTACCTTAATGTATTTTAGAAGGCTGCGTAAGCCCTGTGGTACTATGTAGATCCAACCGAGACATTCCCAAGATGGATCTGTAAATGTTTCAATCTCCAAGTCGCATAACACACTTAATTCGCCTTGCTTGTTCTCCTTGTACTTGACTAAGCGAGTGGTATAGTACTGCACAGCAAAGAAATCAGCGGTGCCTTTGATCATGCTCTGCTCTTCTTCTGTAAATGCTGGCAGTCTCGATGATGGATAGCCTTGTTTTTTACTCATGGAGGCAATCTGAGATTTGACAACTTCAGGATAATCACCATCAAGAAAAATGGGCTTAGCAAAGAGATCCATTTGGAAGGCCAAGGCTCTCTGAGCCGTTTCCTGATCAGCCACTGAATTGGGATCTGCCGGTTCAACCCAGGCAGTAAAAAGTGATAAGGACACCATGCCCTTTTGTTCTTTTCTGAATAAAGAATCATAGCTGTGCCAGCTTCGGGCATGTGCTTTAATCAAATTATGAACTGCCTGATAACCTCCAGTTCCAGTGTGAGGTACAGCTGGAGGAAAAATCCCCAAATCATATGCAAGCAGAGCATAAAGGTTGGGCTCATTTAAGGTGATCCAGTGCTTGACTCGATCACCAAAAGTACTGAAGCAGAACCGGGCATATTTGTCGAAGTATTCAATGATTTCTTCTGACAGCCAGCCTCCCTTGTCTTCTAAAGCCTGGGGCAAATCAAAGTGGAAAAGAGTCACAATGGGGATAACCCCGTTCTTCAACAAGTCATCAACAATTTTGTTGTAATAGTCAACACCTATGATAAAGGAAGAAAAAAAATGAGGAGAAAAATTACTTTTAGTATATTGGCAATAAATGATAACAAAGAACAGGACAGGGAGTCATTTTCTATGTGAGTTTGTTCAAAATAAGCTCCTTATGGGTCAACTACCACTTTCTAGAGAGTAAGCAAAATATTGCATTAGGTAATTCTATTGCCAAAGATCCCTTTTAAGATAGTGGTTCCTTTGTTTGTGTTTTTGTTTGTTTGCTGGTTGAGTTTATCTGTGTTGTTAAAAACAACAATAAGAAGAAAATAAAACACAAAGACCTCAACAAAAAACCCAAGTAGTCATCTCCTATGCATGACTCTGCTTCCCTTGGTGATACAGTGCTCAGTGTCTTACTAGTATTGTCAAGGGACCATGCAGTGGCACAGTCTTGACATTGCAGCCCACTCTACATGTCAGATTCTGAGTGCCTCTCCAGAGCTCTCTTCTTTGCTATGTTTCCCTTCTATCTAATTGTGCATCAATGATGTGGTACCAGTTGCATGGCATATGGCTGTAGATACCAGGTTTGGAAGGGTTGGAATAGTTAAGCATATAGATAATTTCTGAGGTCACAAATATGTTCTAAAATTGGTGATTACACAGCTGAACATAATGAAAAGCCTTTGAACTGTATGCTTTAAATGAGATAGAAATGAAATATTTCTTAAAAAGATTAGGAATTTTTTTTATAAAAAAGAAAATGAATAAAGACATTTACCCTTCACCTTGAAAAAAAGTGTTAAAAATTCAATGATGTCACTTTGATGAGAATGCTTTCTTTAGTCATCAAAGTTTTAGTTATTTACCCAGTTCCCCCAAATCCCTATGCATGCCAGACCTGCTTTATAACAGTGGTGTTATGCAATATTTGCCCTTTTGTGACTGAGATTTACACTCAGCATAATGTCCTCCAGGGTCATTCATGTTTGTATAATATTCTATGAGTGCCTTGTTTTTCAGTGTTGCATAGTATTTCATTGAGAAAAGAGGGGATACATAATACAAAATAAACACTGCATTGCAACAGATGAAGAAAAGAACTGTTTAAAAGAAATATATGATTAGGCATTATCTGTATGACAACAGTCTAGAATAAGACATAGAAAAATGAATGGGGGCTTAGAGGGAAAATTTGTGTTTTATTGACTATGCAAAGGCATATGTGCAGATTACAACAAATAGAGGCTAACAATGAGAATAGTGGGAATCCCAGAACACCTGATTGGGCTCATGTAAAACCTATACTTAGACCAGGAAGCAGCCATCAGAACAGGGCAGGAAACACTGTTTTATTCAAATTCAAGAAAGGAATGTGTCAGGGACAGATCCTTTCTCCATATTTTTTCAATCTGTATGCAGAACAGATCATCCAGGAGTCTGGGCTTTATGAGGATGAATCTGGCATTGAGATTGGAGGAAGATTCACCAAAAAGCTACGTTATGTAGATGATCCAACCTTGCTTGCTGAAACTGAGGAGGACTTGAAGCATTTGCTGCAGAAGGATTGCAGTCTTTGGTATGGATTGAAACTTAACACAACAAAGATTCTCACCCCTGGACCAACTATCACCATCATGATAGATGGAGAACGGCTTGAGACTGTTAACAATTTCATCTTGCTCCAATCTACAATCCACATTTTTGACACTAGCAGCAGTAAGGAAATCAAAAGGTGAGTTGCATTGATTGGGAAAGTTTACTGTCAGAGACCTCTACAGGGTGATGAAGAGCAATGATGTCAGTATAGAGACTAAAGTATATCTGATCCAGGCTATGGTCTTCACAATTACTTGCTGTACATTGGAGGGCTTCACAATGACTAAGGATAACAAAAGAAAAATTTATGCCTTTGATTTGTGGTGCTGGAGAAGAGTATTGAATGTACGTTGGACTGTCAAGAAACCAGGTTGCTTCTTGCAGGCAAAGATTTTGAAGCTTTGTCTCACATACTTGGAGCATGTATCCAGGAGGGACTAGTCCTTGGAGAAGGACATCATGCTTGGAAGGATGGAGGGTAAGCACAAGAGAGGAAGACCTTGGATGAGATGGATTGATGCAGTAACTGAGGTGATGGAGGTAGGTGTGTCAGAGGCAATGAGATTAGCTCAAGATAGGGCAGAGTTTAAGACTGTTGTTCATAGGGTCACTATAATTTGCAGGCAGCTCAAAGGCTCCTAAAAATACCAACAACATCAATAAGGTCATCATAAAGAAGAGTAAGAAATTAGGATTGGAGGAAGACCTATCAACAGTTTGTTATGCAGGTGACACAACCTTACTTACAGAAAACTAAGAGGACTTGAAATGTTTGCCACAATAAATCAAAGACTATAAATTTCAATATAGATGACATCTCAACATCAACAAGATAAAATTTCTTACCAATGGGTCAATAGGTAACATCTAGAAAGAAAGAAGATTGAAGTTGTCAACAATTTTATCTATCTTGGATCCAGTAGTTAAGAAATCAAAAGATGCATTGCATTGGTAAATCTGTTGTCAAAATCAAAGATGTTAAAGAGTAATGATGTCAGTTTAAAGTCTAAGGTTAATCCACTTCAAGCCATGGTGGTTTCATTTATTTGTTATGTATCTGAAAGTCAGATAATAACTAAAAATGACAGAAGAACTTATGCCTTTGAGTTATGATTCTGGAGAAGAGTACTAAATATCCCATGGACTACCAAGAGAACTAACAAATATGTCTTTGAGAAAGTACAGCTCTCCTTGGAGTGTTCCTTGGAGACAAGAATGTGACATTTGTCTCATGTATTTGAGACATGACAGCTCTCCTTGGAGTGTTCCTTGGAGACAAGAATGGTGACGTTTGTCTCATGTATTTGAGACATGTTGTGAGGAGAGGCTGGTCTTCAGAAAGGGAATCAGTCTCAGAAAAGTGTAGAAGAAGACCCTCAACAGATGGATTGACAAACTGACTATAGCAATATACTCAAGTACATCAGTGATGACAGGGATGGCACAGAATAATGCAAGTTTTAGATCCATCGGCCATGGGACCACTATTTAATTCAATGGTCAATTCAAGTAGTCAATTGAATGGCACCTAACAACAACAAGGTCATCATGAATCAAAGTCGAGCAGGAGTCATAGCGACCCTATGAACAAAAGGCCTAAAGCCCCTCTACAACTATCGACATTTATCAAAGTTCATAATCAATAAAATTCTTTTGTTTGCTTACCTTTTTGTCTCTACTCATTGCCATGGAGTTTTTACCAACTTATAGCTGACCCTCCACCAGATTTCCAAGTTTATAGATAACGTGGGAGAACAATCCACCTCCTGGTGAATTTTAACTCACAGAAAAACTCAGCCTTTGGGTTAGAGGTGCAAGTCTCTGTAAACCACTGCAGCAGAGCTCCTTGGAGGTATAATATGTATTCTTAGGCTCATTATAACATCTGCTTTTACGGTAGGTTTTGAATCAGGGAGTGCAATGCCTCCCACTTCATTTTTGTTTCTGAAAAGTGTTTTACTTATTCAGGGTCATTTGCCTCTCCAAATAGACAATTTCCCTTTGGGAAAGTCTGCTGTTAGGGACCTCTCCAAAGTACTGAAGAGCAATGGTGTCTCTCTGGTGGTTAAGGTGTGTCTGATGCAGTCCATGCTCTTTGCTATCACTTGTTATGCATCAGAAAGTTGGATAATTACTAAGGAGGATAGAAGGAGAATTGATGCCTTTGAGCTGTGGTACTAGAGAAGAGTATTGAGGATACCATGGACTGCCAAGAAAACAAACAGATTCATCCTGGAAAGGGTTAAACCGGGTGGCTCCTTGGAGGCAAGGATTCTGAGGCTCCCTCTAACATACTTTGGACATGTTGTAAGGGAGTTATGGGTCCTTGGAGAGAGACATCATGGTTGGTAGGGTAGAGGGACAGCACAGGAGGGGAAGGTCTGCTATGAGGTGGATTGATTCAGTGACTGGGGTAATCAGGATGGGTGTGTCAGAGACAGTGATTGGCACAGGACAGAGCAGAGTTTAGGGCTGTTGTACATAGGGTTGCTATGAGTCACAAGAGACTCAACGACATGTAACAACAACAAAAACATCGCCTTGAAAGATGAATTTTGTATCTGGATTGGGATTGTTTGAACACATAGACTGCTTTTGGTAGGACTGGCATTTTCACAATATTGAGTCTTCCTATCCATGAACAGGGAATGTTTTTCCCATTTATTTAGGTCTTTTATTGTGTCTTGCAGAAACGTTCTGTAGTTTGTTTTCCTTGTATAGTCCTTTTGTATCTCTAGTTAGGTTCACTCCTACATATCTCAATTTGTGTTTGGCTATTGTAAATGGTGATGGTTCCTCTTTGTCACTGTAGAGGAATCCTACTGATTTTTGGATATTAATCTTCTATCCTGCCACTCTACTAAATGCCTACTAGCTCTAACAGTTTGTTGTGGTTGTTGAGTCCTTGGGATTTTCTGTGTACAGTATCATATTATCTACATATAGAAATGGTTTCACTATCTCTTTGTCAATCTGGATGTCTTTACAATATTGAATAGAAGTGATGACAGTGGGTATCCTTGCCTGATCCCTGTTTGCAAGGAAAATGCTTTTAGTCTTTCTTCATTGAGAATGATGTTGGCTCTTGGTTTTGCATGCATAATGTTTCACGATGTTAAGGAAATTATCTTCTATTCCAGTTTTGCTGGTTATCGGGGAGGGAGATTTTATCAAATGTCTCTTCTACATCAATTGCTAAGATCATATGGTTCTTGTTATTTGCTTTGTTAATATGGTGAATTACGTTGATTGTTTTTCTTATGTTGAACCTTCCTTGCATACCTCTTATGAATCCCAGTTTTTCATAGTGAAGTTTTTATATGCTTTCAGATTCTATTGGCTAGGATTTTTTAAAGATTTTTACATCTATATTCATGAGAGATAGTGATCTGTAGTTTACTTTCTTGAGAATATCTTTGCCTGGTTTTGATATTAGGGCTATGCTTGC